CTTGCGCCCCAAAACTGCTGGGCCAATCGCGCGAAAGCGTCCCGGGCTGACGATGAAACCTCACGGGGAAACCCTAAGCGATGAACAGAACCGGGGGATGGATAAAACTATGAAATCGGGGATACACCTTGATCCACCTGCCAGCTGGTGCGGATTTTGCCCTTCCACGTGGGGTGTCCTTTCGGTATCCTTTGCACGCCAGCCAGGCGGCCTATGGTTGCAACTCAAAGAAATCCGTAAGAAAACATTCCAGGGTCCAGTTTCGCAACACATCCAGCTGGGCAGGTGGAATAAAAGCCCCTGAAAAGAGTTGTTGTGACCCTCGAAGTGCAACATTTGGCCCGCCTCCGGGGTAGCGATCCCTCTGATGTTTCACCTGCCTTGCGCTTGGCATCTGAGTGACGCCACCCCCAGCTGATTTCAGGTGCTCTCTTAGCCTGAAAAGGGCAACTCTTGGCGATGACATGCTGTGGGTCTGACTGGCGACACTGTCGCCAGTCGCTATATAGTTGGCACATATGTGGCTGGAACCATAGGTGGCCTTTTGGAAAAATAGATGGCCCTGGTAAATGGAATAAACCCCACCTAAACCAGTGGAACCCATCTACCTTTTAATCAAGCTAACCGATCAAGAGGACACCTATGAGGACCCATTCTCTTGCCCTCGCCCCAGTAAGGTTTTCGGTTTTCTGCGCATGCCGCGACGGTCTTTCTGTACATCAGGCGCCCAGGAGCGCAGACACAGCGTCTTGAACGCTGGCCCAGCCTCAGATCTGGGCGCGGCTCCGGAGCTACAAATTCACAGCCGATTTGTCTTCCATTTGCTTAAGATTTGTGGAAAAAATGAGAAAATACGTCCAGTGGTGATAGATTCCCTTTGAAACCAACAGGGGAAAAGAAAAAAGAGAAACATATTCATTTCAGCAAATGGAAGTTCTTGGGTTCCAACAGGTGGGCTCCCACCCAAGGGGATGGGATTTGGATCCCAGATGGACCCAACAGATAGGTGCAACTGCCTCTTGGAGTGAAACCAACCCGAAGAGGGTACCCTAGCAATTTGGTGAGCTCGCCTATCACACGGAACCCTAAAAGGGCCCCCCTTGTAAGGAAATTGGGGCCACGGCTCTTGCGCCGGATTTCTGCCCGGGCCTTGATTGCCCCCACGAAGGTCATGCAACCACATCTCCTTGGGCCAGTTTTTTGAAACCCCTGTCAGATTCCATCGGGAGCAACCCCCATAGCCAACGGGTACTTTGCAAAGGGTAACAGCCTGCGTATTGGGATGATTGGCGCATCTCCGAAAAGGAATTCTTCCTTTTTTTTGCCCCACTTCCTGCGACTGGCGAGAAGAAGTGCCCAGGCTTCCTTTTTCAACCCAATGTAAACCCGGAGAGTTGCCATCCGCATATTGTTACGATTCCGAAAAGCTGACATATGAATTGGATCCCCAAGCAAAGGATGTTCACCATTTCGCTCATGCTACCCTGAATCGGTGGGGAATCTCCAAACCCATCTAATTGGCAGTTCCCTTCGCTCAGTTTGCCACCAACTCCCCCAAAAGGTGGCTCATCCTTTTTTGAGTTGATGGCTTTCTGGGGGGAGGGGGAGGTCCCTCCTTTTTCGAACCGCTAGCAGGACCCCCTTTGCTTTGTTGTTTTCTAGGGTTAAAGGGAAACCAAAGGAAACACAAAGGGGGTCTCTTCAAGACGACACCGCCATACCGTGGATGGTTGCGAAATCCATAGGGCACCATTCAGAAACCCTGGAACGAGTCGATTCCCTTGGCCCAAAACCAGCAAACGTTATGGCCCTGTTGGCTGACCAGGAACGTTTGGGGCTGGCTTTGTCTCTGATGGGAATCCGATTGGGCTTGCTGTTGGATCCAAGAAGCGAAGCCATTTTCTTCAAGCGCGGCCGGAAGTCGTCCCCCGTGCCGTGGGAATTTGCACCGGCGGGCCAACTGGGCGCCCGGACCCGTGGACGCGAGCGCGCCCTTGGCGCTGGCCTCGTCGAAGCCCATCTCCATGACCTGCCACGGAGATTCTACCCCCCAAAACTGAAGGGAACGCGTTTTTGCCTCTGCTGCTCTTTTGCCGTTGTTTTTTTCCCAACCAGTGTGTCCACTGAGAGGTTCTTGCGGTAGGAGTAAAGTCCTGGTGCTAGATCGAGGTGCCCGGCCTGGCCGCGAGCATTTTGAGTGGTATTTACCGCAAAATCGTGATGTTGTCTGATGTCGAAGCGCAGTTCGGCTGCGCAGGCTGGCACAAAATGAGGCCCCCGAGTTTGTCCGGGAGCATTTTGCGTGGTATTTACTGCAAAATCGTGATGTTGCATGATGTCGAAGCGTGTTTCGACGCGCAGGCTCGCAGAAAATGAGTCCCGCGAGTTTGTCCGGGAGTATTTTGAGTGGTAGTTACCGCAAAATCATGATGTTGTGTGGTGTCGAAGTGCGTTTCGATTGCGCAGGCTCGCACAAAATTAGGCCCGCGAGTTTGGTCGTGAGCACATTGCATGGCATTTACTGCAAAATCGTGATGTTGTCTGATGTCGAAGTGCGTTTCGACTGCACGGGCTCGCACAAAATGAGGCCCGCGAGTTTGGTCGGGAGCATTTTGCCTGGTATTTACCACAAAATTGTTATGTTGTATGATGTCGAAGTGCGTTTCGACTGCACAGGCTCGCAGAAAATGAGGCCCGCGAGTGTGGCCGGGAGGGTATTTACCGCAACATCGTGCTGGCGAAGTGCGTTTCGACTGCGCAGGCTCGCAGAAAATGAGGCCAGCGAGTCTGGCCGCGAGCATTTTGCGTGGTAGTTGGTAGTTACCGCAAAATCATGATGTTGTATGATGTCAAAGTGCGTTTCGGCAGCACTGCGCAGGATGAAGTTCGTGTAAGTTTAGTGTTGGGCAAATATGCTCTTCGGTTTGCTGGTGGGTGGAAGAGTTTGCTGCGAGACATAGGTACAGAAACTTACAGTGACGCTTCTCATTCCCCAACCACGCGCTTGCGTTGCGACTTGTTGTTGCGACTTGCTCTCATAAATCTAGGGCCGTTGGCAGTGCGTCGCGTGCCTCAACCGGCTTGTTGCGCCGCATGGAAACCTCCAATTCCATGTTTCACGCCGGAAGATGCTGGACCACCCACTCCATGCCGTTGTCGGTATACAAGCGCCCGCAGGATGCCCATGTCTTTCCAGCCCGTGGCCGCCGGGTCGGCTTTTTGTTTACGCTCGTCACTGTTTGGGGTCTCTTGCCGGGATATGTTTTGTTTTAAGAACAATACACAAAAAAATGGAAAACACAAAGGACAGAGTATGTTTATTCTGTTTGTTTGTTGCAAAGTTTGCAACAACCCTGGCACCCTTTATGGGAAATCAATAATAGGTTTCATACTTTGGTGGTTTGCACAAGAAACAGCTTAGGCAAAGGCGTTTCGCAGCTATTGTTGACACCCAGAAGTTGTGCATTTAATTTTGAATGGTGTTCCCTTCATGACCTACACGATAGTGATAACTCGAGGCATTTTGTTGGGGGCATAGCTTGGTTGCTGGCGTAGTGGTTGGAACCAGCCATCCAAAGCTTTTGGCTTGGTTGCTGGCGTAGTGGTTGGAACCAGCCATCCAAAGCTTTTGGGTTGGTTGCTGGTTTTGGGTTTGGGGCTAGGGTACCCTTTTTGGTTGGTTTGCGGCACTTCTCTTGGTTTGGAAAAAACAACTTTTGAAACCTGGCATACTCAAAGATCCGGCTGCCGATGCAGTAGGCAACCACGGTGAAAGAATCATCATCATCTTAGTGGTTCGTTGATAGTAGGCTATCAGGTAAAAATTAGAGGAATCAACAAATATGGGTGTCCTATGGTGGTACCATGCTGCAAACCCGAAAAGGGGGTCCCCTTTTTGGGTTCGTCTTTAAGGGACCGCTGCAAATGCTTGGCCTTTCCCTTTGAAACAAGCCGCTCCCTCAAGAGTTGGGCCAAAGCGTGTTGAGAAAAAGCCGGCTGATTGGTTAGCCAAACTCGATGGCTGATGTTACGTTCAGCGTCATATGCCCCTTGGACCGTCAAATCATATCTTACCCATGTTCCTTTTTGTTTTCTTTGAAGGGCATTTCCCTTGGTTTTCTACTGCATATGTGCACTGGTTGCGGTTGTTTGTTGCTTGCTTGCTGCGCTTTTTGCGTGGGCATCTCTTTTTTTGGGTGCCGGTGCCGTCTTTGGAGTTGGCACCCTGGTAGGGGGTTAAAGGTTGATCCGCCAGGTTTCTCACCCATCATTCTATTGAGAATTCACATAACCCCCCCCCCCCACCGCTAAACAAAAGGGAAAGAATGGCTTGGTGCGGGGAAGGGGCAACGCTGCCCCCTTGTTGAGGGCTTCCCCCTATTTGGAGACAAACTATGAGCCAAGGGCTCCTCTCATGTACCTCAAAAGCCCGGGCCAAATGCTTGCGTTTCAGTTGGCGCCCCCTTTAGACAAAATAATGAATTGCCTTTTGTAGGCAACCCCCTTTTCGGTCCCCCTACTGCTACTTACTTACGAAGCGACCCTTTCTGGGATTGACACACGACAACAAACCGCTTCCCCCTTTGGCAGAGAAGGGGTGTGCAACGCCACGGCAAATGACAGTCTGCGAGCAGCAACTGCAATTTCGAACGCATACATGGTCGCGGCACACAAATGTGGCGTCTCGATGGAGAAGGAAAAAAACCGGCTGTTTGGTCAACTCCAAAAGCCGTTCGCCGTGATTCGTTCGCCGGTTCGCCCATGAAAGCAGCCTGGGCATACTGACCCCCAAGGAAGGGCCGCTGAAGCTGGAAACATGAGCAATCAGACATTGCTGAAGCCGGAGACCGGAGAATCCTTCAAGCGCGTGCCAAGACTTGTGTCAAAATTTGCCACTGGAAGGCCGAAAAGGGGCAACTGTTGTTCAGTTCCCCCTAGAAGGAAAGACTTCGCAGTCTTGAAGACATGTTTGTCGGGAGGGTATTTCAGCCACAAAAAAGATGTGTCCAAGAGGGGCGACTCACTTGGAACCTACAAAGGGCATGAGGTGTGGGGCTCCTATGGCGTATTTGAGCGCTTCTCAAACCCAAATGTTGGCTCCCTTTCGATTTCTCAAGTACCCTCCCACCCTTTTCACATCAAACCCTTAAAAACGTTCAGAACCCGGGTTCTTGTTTGAAAGGAAAATTGCAAAAAAAAACACCCGAACCCGAAGCCCGAAGGTCGGGTTCCACGACACATTCGAGTTGGGCCCTGTACAATGTATCCCCCTTACCTTCAGAGGGAGGGGGGTGGCAAATCCCAGAATTCCATTTATTCAGTCTTCCCAAAAGGGAAAATGGAACCCTTAATGGAATTCCAGGGGTCACCCCCCTCCCCCAATTCCGTTTTGAAGGGGGTGAGAATGTAAATTTCATTGTTTGCTTCACTTTGAGCTGGTAAAATGTAAAATGTAAGACGTATCCGTCCCAACCAACCCGCGGTCCGTCCCACCCCACTGTGACGCGCCTGGCTCAGCAACTGCCGCTGCTTCTGAGGCGGCGGAGCCCGGACTCGGCGGAGCGCATCATGGTAGTCCCGCTCACATCCTGCCCCTGCTTGCGTGTTAAAGGGAAACCAAAACGGAACCAACCCAAAATTGGCGCTTTGGATTCGCTTCACCTCCAGTTCCTCTTCCAAACCACCAAAACAACCAATTACGAGTACGCCCTTCTCGGCATCCACCTTTTTCCTTTGTAATTTTTGCAGTAAACAACAATCGCCTAGCTCATGGAGCCCCAAGTGTGGCCCACCCACATCCTGAATTGTGTGCTACGCTAGTGCCTGGGATGCTAACTGATTGTTACTCATCCCATACTCTAAATACCCGTTTTGAAGAAGCCGGTTTTCCACGGTACACGCTACATCCCTTAGTCAAGAGTTGACATTGTCTGACGTCAAACCCTTGAAAAAGCGGGTAGTTTCTGGGTTGCACAAAACCCCGATCGGCAGGGGGGTAGATCAGTGGTTCCTAAAATGGGGAACGCAGTTTGGGAACATCATTCTCATTCGCATACCGAACATCAGCAATCCCTATGAAAGACACCTTGATCATTGGCGACGTCGCAGACCCTTGTAGTGACACTGTTTGCCCAGAACAGTATCCGCTGACAAGTGTTCAAAGGCTCACACCAGCCCTGATCTCCCCTGGACAAGGGAGGTCAACCGTGCAGTTTTCGTCCGCGGTTTGTCTGAGTATACCTTTACTACAGCAGCATTTGCCCCCCAACAAGCAAAAACTATTGTTGGTGCTGGTCCATATTTAGTGAACCTCAAAGAGATCCCCAACACTGATTCAGAGCATAGTAAGGGAAGCCATTCCATTTAGGGTCGCTCCATGTGTGTGTGTGTGTGTGTGCCTGTGTTTGGTTGTTTGCTGTGTATTGTACTGCCTCTTTGTTTTCCTCTTGTGTGTGTGTGTTTGTGGCTGATTGTGTGTTTGCTTGTTTGCTTGCTTGCTTGTTTTTTGGTTGGTTGCTTGTTGTTTTGCTTGTTTGTGTCTTTCTTGCTTTCTTTGTTTATTTGTTTCTTTGTTGATTTCTTTCTTTCTTTATTTCTTTCTTTCTTTCTTGCTTGCTTGCTGTCTTTCTTTCTTTATTTCGTTCTTTCCTTCCTTCCTTCCTTCCTTTCCTTCTTTCTTTCTTGCTTGCTTGCTTGCTTGCTTGCTTTCTTTCTTTCTTTTTCTTTCTTTCTTTCTTTCTTTCCTTTCTTTCTTTTCTTTCTTTCTTTCTTTCTTCTTTCTTGCTTTCTTGCTTTCTTGCTTTCTTGCTTTCTTTATGTTTTAGTAGTTTCTTTCTCTATTCCTTAATATCCTTCTGTGTGTATTGGTTTCTTTGTTTCTTCGTTTCTCCGCTTCTTGGTTATTCTATTCTTCGATTCTTCGTTTCGTCGTTTCTGTGTTTATGTTGTTTGATTGTTTGCTTGCTTATTTGTTTCCTTGCTTTATTGCTTCTTCGTGTCGTTGTGTCCTTGTTTCTTTGCTTATTGATTTTGTTGCGATTGTTGTGATTGTTTGATTGTTGTGATTGTTTGATTGTTTGATTGTGTGTTTGCTTGCTTGTTTTGTTGCTTCTTTGTTTCTTCCTTCTTGGTTTCTTTGCTTCTTTGCTTCTTCGTTCCTTGGCATCTTAGTGTCTGGTGTTCCGTGTTTGTTTGGTCGTTCCTTGGGTTCTTTCACGCCCGCTGGGCGCCGGTGCTCTGCGGCTTCTCCACGGGCCGCCGCGGCTGCTGCGCCCGGCTGTCCCAAATGTAGCACCTCACCACGCCCAGCTTTTTTGCGACAGGTTTCGGGTGGGTTGAAGGGTCGCTTGATTTCTGCTCCGCTGCTAAAGGTTTAACATGTAGCGGCCCAATGGAACACCCATTAGTGAGCAAAAAATTAAAGTCCTAGCATCCAAGCAATATGCAACAAAGGTGTGAAGGGGGTGGGGGTTCAAGTAAGGGACACCCCCCCCCTGCGGGAGCTCCGGCGGACTCTGAGAAACCAGCAGGAAGATCTAGAAAGTTCTTGATTCTTGGTGAATCTTCGCAAACTTCCTGTAGAAACCGCCTCTACCGGAGCTATGATGTTTCCAACACATTCAACAATGAGTGGTAGCTGTGCACCAAACATCAGACTGACCGTCCTGGCGGTTCCCTTTCGAACTCTTGAAATGGGCACCCTGCTGATGTTTCCCGCTAAGGCAGCAAAACCGGCTGAGTGCGCAGCTGCAAATCCGGGTCCTCCTCCTCCTCATAGTAGGGCTTCGCGGGCCTAAGTCGCAGGCCAACTCCTACGTAACTTGGCATGTTGAAAAGTCGTTGATGTTCCCTGAACCCATTGCATTTCTCCACTTGAAGGCCCCTTATGCTGTTTCCCCTTTAAAGAGGCCTGTTGTTGGCAACTTCAACCACGCTGGGGTATATTCATCATTTATAAAGAGGCCAATGGTCTGGCTGTTGCCTCGCAAGTTCCCCCCTCTGGTCATCGGCAGAGGGCTGCATCTCGCAGCTCGCAGCAAGCCTGAAGAATTCATTAAAATGGGGTGGCCTGGTAGCCTCAGCAAAAACAATGACCTGCTAAAAGGCATCAAGGTACGTGTTTCCCATAGTTTAGACTCAAAACGGTGGCCAGTATCAACCACAAGCAACCAAAAGAGTTGGTGTTGGCCTCAGGGCCGATTTGACGCTTGGACCAATCCGCGGGCCATGTTGGACTCAAGATAAGAAGCCTCCAAAGCGGAGGGCTTCATGCCTTTGTTCGATTTACTTGGTTCTTAGCTGGGAATGAGGGAATGACCCCTATGAGCCATCCCCTGTGGTTTCCTTTGAGGGAATCCCCTTCCGGTTCATTCCCAAACACTGGGTCATGCTGTGCGCATCGCACCAGGAAGTATTTGGGACCGCAACACACCAAGGCATGACCGGACCCAAGCCGAAGGCGGCCCACTCCTTCCATTTGGTGAAGACCCCTGGAAAAAATTGGAATATTTCCAGTAGTGATAGATTCCCTTTAAAACCAACAAGAAAAATTAAAAAAGAAAACATTCTTAAGCAAATGGAAGACTCCGAGCACCCCGCAACTTCTCCACGGGCCGCTCCGCGTACTTGGCTGCGATGCTGGACTGGCGAATGGCGAGCCCCACTGGGCTTGCAAGAGACGAACCTTCTTCTCTGAATATGTCTTGGTTGACGTGGGAAGGGGAGCAAAAAAGAAAGCAGTTCAGTGGGGATTTCCCTTGACTTTGGTCCTTTGGAGCCCCTACAAAAAGGTTCTTTTTTTTTCAGTGACCTCAAAACCACTGCTTTCTCCATGGCAGATTTGTGCGTGTGTGCGTGCGTCTCTGTTTTTGTGAGAGCCCTTTTTGGGACCCCTTAGCCCCGAATGAATCCTCACGCCGACTCATTTTGGCTCCCTCATTCTGAGTCATGCAATGAGCCCCGCTGTCCGGCTGTGCTGAAAACACCCTCCTTCTACCCATTTCCTGAGGCTGGACACCCAGAGAAGAAGAGAAGCCCTGGTTGCTTCCTCCGGGGGGTTGGGCGCGCTGCGCCTTCGGAGGCACCCAAGGTTACTTTGGCGGGAAACGTCTCCTATGAATCCACCAGGTTGGACAAATCCAGGATTGACATAGACAGACCTTGGCACAGCAAGCGCACAACCGCAAGCACATCTGCGCCGTGTGGTCATATGGGTGCGTCTTTTCTGAGGCGAACCCATTTTTGGTGGTTGTGAAGCGAAACCGAACGGAAAAAACCACCCTTTTGGGGACCAGTTCCCCCAAAAAGACAAACAGTCACGGAGTCCCATGCGCATGTCTCTTGAAGGCCGTTTTTGGGCAACGGACGGGCCTTGAGAGAGCCACACGCCCAAAGCCCACTGAGAGTATTCAGGTTGGGCCCCCAAAATGGCTCCGGCTTTCCGCTTGGTTTCGCCTTAAGACAAAAAAAACAGGGGGCACCCTCAACAAAGACAGACCCAAGTGGTATAGAACTTCCTTCTGAAAACAAAACATCTGCAACGAATTTGGGCAATGGTCAGGTAGTCTTCCCGGCAATCTTTCCCCGGGATTTCCCCGCCTGCCCGAACGCTGAAGGTCCCGCCTGTCTTGCCGGATCCCACCCTGCTTGAACTTTCCTCATGCAAGTCAGCAGGTCAGCGTATGCGAAAATGGATCCCGATCAGACCCCAAAGTTGAACTTTCCTCATGGCAAGTCAGCAGGGCGTATTCCATGAACAAAAATCACCCGGCTGACGACATGAGGTTCTCTCCTCCAAGATTCTGGACCACTTGGAACCAGAAGTTTCTGCGGCAAGCAAAGCAAACCGGAGTCCATCAGGTAACCTCTGGGTTGGTTTGGTCCGGAGCACCTCCTAACAAACCGGGCACCAAAATACGGACTTAGAGGGCAAACTCTGCAAGTAGCTTTACTCATGAACAAAACCAAGCGACGAAAAACAAAAATGATACATCTTGCCAGCTCTGCGGAGTAGCCGCCTTCAGTTCCAGCTCCCATTTCGACTACCCCGAGTGGAACTCTGGCAAGTGGAAACATGGACCAAAACCCGCGGTCCCCTGGTGGTGGAAAATTTCGACCCTTCCCCCCGGTCACGAAAAGGCGCCTTTCGGAGCTGCGGCGGCAGCGGGTTCATGGCTGCCACCTGGCAGACTTGGAGCTTGGCCTTTGGGTCTGCGGGGCTTTCCCACTCCGAGCCCTGGTTTTTTGCAGCTGGAAACCCCAGATCTTTAGGATGACCTTTCTGGGAGAAAAAGAGGAGTTTCAATCCCAGAGGGGATTTCGTCACATGGGACCTGCAACCTGCTGGATTCCCCCGGGAAAACAGGAGAAAACAAAAGCTTGACTGTTGCAATGAGTCTTGACAAGCTCCTCTGCGAACATGCATTGAATGGAAGATGCCGCAAAATTCGTCCAACCGTTCAACCCACCAAACCGAATCCTGGAAACAACCTCAAACATTGGGTACATGTCAAAATCGATGGATTCGGAGCCCCGTGTCATGAGTTTCCTTTGGGCTTCCCTAACCAAGATAAAAGGGTGCCTCAAAAACCACACACCCAAATGGGTAGTCAAGGTAGGGGGACCCTCAAAATGGGTGGTTTCCTTTTGGCTTCCCTTTAGAACCACCCAAAGGGCCCTCAAAAAACACACACACACACACACACACACCCGACACGATCCATGTTCACCAGAATCATGCCAGGTTTTTGAGTGTCCCAATGTTCGGGGGGCCAAATATTCGTTTTTGACGGGGTCTTCAAAAGGCGACTCCCAGGAAATCACGGATTCTCAGGTTTGATCCCTGCCCACCCTGTTTTTACTGCAGGGGGAACCCCCCAAAACGTTCAAACGTTCGGCAGAGCGAGCCTTTGGCGCAGCAGTCTTCGCCTCGTGTCAATTCAGAACCTCGATTGAACCAACCTCTTCGAGTCGATTGCTTGCCATGGAACCCAACTCACTTTAGCAAACCCAAACGCATCCAAACCCCGACCCCCCAAAAGGGGTTGCTTCTGTTCAGGATGCTTCACTGCCTGGGCTTTGAATTCGAGCCCTCCCTCTCCAGGCTGCGCTGTGTTTCGGATGCCTTTTGGATAGAGCTTTGGTGTCCTTTGGTGTCCTTGGTTTTCTTGTTGGCTTTGGGTCTTCTGGTGGTACCGGTTTGTTCATCTATTCTGATTCGGGCACGAGCCTGTGCCCAGGCAATGGGTAAGTTGGGGTAAACAAGCCACAAAAGAAAGGTTCCCCAAAAGCAAACCAATCCCCGGTCCCAAAGATCAGGGTTTCCCACACACCAGAGAACAACAACCAAAGGAAAACAAACCAAACAAGAAAAGGGTTAACCCGCAACCTTGGTCGACAACAGGCCGCACGACTGGTCCCTACCAACCTGGCGGCGGCCCGAGGTCTCTTTCTCCCCCGAGATGCCGTCGGTCGACGCAGGGGCTCGGCGACGCCCATTCGAGGCGCGACGGAACCCAAAACTTGAGCCAAAACACCACAGGTCGGTCACTAACGCGACGTCCCTGATGATGATATGAACCATGGCTAATCACACCCCCCTCACGAGGAGCCCGTCATATGACGGGTGGAGCGTGCCATTTACTGATAGGATTTAACTGCTCGCATGCGTCCGCAAACAGCTGGACACTACCGCCGTCAGCGGTGGAGCAAACCCACAAAGGCAGTTGCGCGACATCCCGGGCATTAAATTCCCGCCACCACCCCGAATTAATCGGGGTAACGCTGTCCAACATACCTTGTGGAAAGGTCCACATGACGACATTAGGTCACAACTGTTTGCATCAACAATGCAAGAAGTTTAATTCTTATCAGAAGCCATGAAAAAAAGATAACGTATGTCCATAGTACCCTCGCCTAACGGCAAGAGATACCCCTGACCATGCGTACCTGAAAAATGCTTGAATTCCGCAAACCCGGGAGTAACCCCCCATCAGTTTGCTTTCCCTCTCACTCACACTGCTTCCGGATGAACACGTCCAGCAGCTCAGCAGCGGTACGGGAGAGACATGACCTCACCATCTCCACACCGCGCCGACCATTGGAGAATGGACGCAAGCCTATCGGCCGCAATCCCCGTGACTCAGCCTACCGGCTATCGTCACGTCTCCTCCGGTCACGTCCGCCCCGCGCACGGTCCCTATCACGATCCCTTTCGGACCTCCTGCGATCATCTCGCCTTCGATCTCGCTCCCGATCGAGTGAATCATCATCACGACGATCACGAGCATCGTCCCTCCTCCGGTCGCGATCATCCTCGCGCCGCGGACGGTATCTGCGCCTCCTCGACTCTCTGGAATCCCTGGTGTCCACGGTCCTAACGGACCTCCGAGAAGGAGTACGGGAAACATCCGATTCCCTACGCCTCCTCCCAGATCGAGAGTTCGTCACGATCTGGTTGAGAGCCTCCAGTGCCGACGCGTCCTCACCATTCTGATGAAATCCCTGACCTGCTTGTTCAGCACTCTGTTGGTGGAGATCGACAAGAAAGCGTCCACCACCGAACTCTCAGGCAGCACCAGGAAGTGACCCTCCACCGGGCTCGCCGCAGCCCGCTCAGCAGACTGCAGCCGGATCTCCCCGCCTTCAGGCTTCTTTGCCATCGCCTTGGAGGCCGTCAAAGGCGCTACCGCATCCTTTGCCGAAGATCTGCCAAGCGCGGAGTGAAGATCATCCCCACTAGCTTCTCTCGCTGCCGCACCTGGTCTGCTGTCGACGTCGCCAGGCCTCGTGGACGCCTCCCGCTTCGTCGACTCCTTCACAGCCTCGTCGGGATCCCAACGGGATTTCCTTTCTCTCTTCTGCCCTTCGGCCGACCCGCGGCTACCGCCAGGAGCGTCACCTCCGCCTATCTTCTCCTTCTTGACCTCAACCTTCGGTTCGGCCTGCTTCGTCTCCTTAGCCACAGCTTTTGGAGCCGGAGCATTCTTCGCCTCAGATGGTGAAGCAGCCTTCCCTCTCGGCTCGGCCTTAGGAACCGGGGTCATTTTAGCCTTTGCACTCGGCCTGGCCCCTTCAACCACCATCTCGGCCCAAGACTTCTTCGGCTGAGCTGCTGCTGTATCAACCTCCATCGGAGCAGGTCCAGCATCATCCTTCGCCTTTGGGACAGATGGGCTACCGCCCTTACCAGATCCTTTACCTGGCACTTCACCTGACTTTGGTGGTGGGCCGGAAGGACTACCGCCCTTACCGCCCTTTTCCCCCTTCTTCCCTTTTCCTTTTCCGCCCTTGGTGACCGGCTCCTGCTTGGGACCAGGACCCGGCGCAGCATGATGCACCGATTGAAGTCCCTCGATGTCCACGTTCAATGGTTCGGGTTGACGACCATCAAGAACCGTCCTCACCCTTTCGTCACTAACGTAGACGAACGGGTCACGGAAGGGTGCGGGAGGCTCCGACTGTCCGGCGCTGATCGCCTTCTGCACCTTGGCTATCGCCTCCTTCAACCTCTTCTTCTCATCGTACCCTGTCTCCGATACCATGTACTGCCTGAGCTGCGAAATCAACGCATGACTTTCCAGGATGTCCACGTCCTTTCGATGGGTCGGATACAATGGGGTCAGATGACCAGCCGCGGAGCCAATCACGTATGCCATCGGAATATAGAAGGACAAGTACGTGTCATGGCGAGCGAACTTCCTAACGGAAGTCGTCATACGCCTACCCCATTGAGCAGCGTGCCTTGGGTTAGCCCGGAAGTACTCCGTGACCGACTCAAATCTATCGACTTGGTTGGTCAGAATCAGGTGCTTCGCCACCCACTTCTCCACGAACGCATCCGATGCCGAAATCCCCGACACATAGGAGAATTGGAAGAGCACCTTCGCCAGCTCATCCCACGCCGCATCGACTCCTCCCTTGTCCTCACCAAGATAAGGGGGCAGTCTGATTCCGCTCTGCACCGTCATCCTCAGATCAGATGCCATTGAATAGGAAATCAAGTTCCTCTTGATGACTCCGACCACTTCGGTGGGGATCCTCTTGGGCTTGAACTGTCCCATGGTCCTCACCCACTCAGGTACAATGCGGCACCTCTCGAAGTCTTTCTCCTCCGCGTTGGGAATAAAGTTCGGGTAGAAAACCGGGAGCGCGCATCCAGGACACAAATGCATCCCATTTGGCGTCATCTCCGCGCACCTCAAACAGAACGTGGTAGTCACATTCAATCTGACCTCTTCCCGCGATCGCCTGTGCTCTCCCCTAACGGGGGTGAAGTCACCATAGTCCCATGCCCGATGGTACACTATCGTGTAATCATCGTACATGTAGGCCGCCTTCCAAGCTCCCATGTGGATCTCGTTCCTAACGGCCAGAGTCTTCCTTCTTGTCAAAAACACGGGTCCAACCAAGGACCAGTGACCCGAAGATCCACCATTACCACCACGTACCTACCGGAGTAGTTCCGCAGCCTCTGACATACCACGAAGGCGATACCTCGGCATCCGGCGCCATGGCTCTTATAAGTGGGATCAGGCCCTCATCCTGCCTACCATCCCCAATGGTCTCGTACACATCGGGCCTCGTGATCAATATCTCGATCATGGCCTTTCCATTTCGCCTTACCCTTTGGAGCTGAACCGCCTTCCGAAAGTCCGAGAACTTCATGATGACGTACCCCACCATGGGGAGTTCATTCCAATGCATCTCATACATCAGAGATCCGCCAGGTGCATCTTCCTGAGTGTACCTATGCCTAACGGCACTGTAACTCATGTCGCGTCCGATCCGCGTGTGCCTAACGGCAACCAACCTGGTGCTCTCTTTGAGGAGAACGCCATTCCCGTCGTACATGACCATGAGCATCGCCTCAACTTGCCCTATCGGGAAAGCTTTGAGCGTCGGAATGAAGAACTTCCAAGACATCTCCGCGTTCTCCATGCCCGAGATCTCCTTCAGGAACCAGATGGCCTGGTCACTTTTCACCCAGTTTCCAGCCTCGCGTCCGGTCTCCTTCAGCACACGTTCCTCGAATAACTCCGAGACTCTCTTTGAATTGATGACCAAACCGTCGAAATCGCACGAGAGCAGTCTCATCAACTCCTTCGCCGCCTCCCGTCCTGCAACGGTGCCCACGGTCTCCTCGTAGTTCGGGAGGTATTCGCCCAACCTCGTCTTCGAGGGAACCACAATCTGGCAAGTGACGGCCTCATCAGGGATAACTCCCGTTCCCTCAACTCTGGATTGATCTCTCGCCTATCGGCAAGATAATCCTCCTTCCCATCCAGTATCACAAGATTGTAGGTCATCTTGCTCGCCGCCCCACTAGGCCTGAACTTCCTGCTATCATCCAGCTGGTCAGGAGCAAAGGGTCCACTAGGGGCAGCTGCACTCACCAGAGGCGCTCCTCGCCCAGAGCAGAGGTGCTTCTTGTGAAAGTTCACCATCTGATTCAGCTGCGATAGTGCGTAGGCACGATCCTCCAATGACGCACTCTTCATCCCAGCCTCAGTCAGAGGAGCCTCAGGCTTGTCATAACTCGCCTTTCCGCCCCATCTCGCCGCGACCAGCTCAGCAGACTTCGCAGGGTCGATCAAATTTCCCGACCACTCAGGCATGTTGCTCAACCTCCTAGTCAACGCGTCTACCGACGCAGCCAAGTCTTCGTCCGTCACGGTGTAAGGGTCGACCTTCTCCCTGTCTTCTTGACCCACATCCGGAAGCCTATAATCCCCGCGGATGGCCTCCAGCGCGGCCCTCTCGGCTTCCTCAGCCTCCTTCTGCGTGGCCACTGCCCTCGGAATCAAGAGCGCTACCTCGGCCGGCAACGACTTCTCCATGTCTATCGGAGTGTTCTTGGGAAGGATCCTTCGATCATCTCCCTCCCCGCTGTACTCATAGTCAGGAGCAGTCTTCCGGTACTCCTCGAA